GCTCACATGCTGTCAGATCTGCTGAGTTTCTCCAGCATTCTCAGCTTTTGTTTCAGGCTTCCAGAATCCACAGTTCTTTGTTTTATTGAAAAGGAGTGATTTCGCTACAGGACTGCAAGCTTGATCAAAGAGAGAGTTTAAGGAGCATCTTAAAGGAAAAAAGAAAAGTGGAGAGGCAGAAAAGTGTAGGGGGAGAATTCTGGACTGAATTCCAGAGAGAATTCCAGGGTTTAGTGCCTAGACAGCTGAGGGCTCACCCACCAATGCTGTAGTGATTAAAATTGGAAATTCTAAAGAGGTAAGAATTGCAGGAGTACAGAATGATAGAAGGTGTGCATTGTTGTGTAAACTGTACAAGTACCTGACAAACTTTTGTGAAGTCACCATAGATCAATGTCCTTCTTTGCTTGCGGATCACTATAAATCAATGCCTTTTGATCCATGTTTCTTTTGATTGGCAACAGCTTCTCCTGACCTAGTCTATCCAGTCCGTCCACAATTGTAAAAAGCTTTATGAAGTCTCCTTTCAGCCACCTTCTCTCCAAGGAGCACAATACCAACTTCTTCAATTGATCCTCCTCAACAAAGTTCCTCATTCTGGGACCTAGTCTTGTAAATTATTTAGTGTGATTTAGGGAAGTAGTGCCTGAATCCAAAAATATAATCTAGGCGGCCTCGGAGGCCCAGCTTTATCAATCACGTGACCCCCACACCCCACTACACCTCTTACTGACTACCTAGGCCCTACGCAGCTTTGGTCTGGTTTCTGGTCATAAACAAGCTGATATTCAACAGCGCCAGAACTCATCCATCATGAGGCCGGATGCTTAAATCACAAAGCAGCTGGTTGGGTGATTGACAGTGAAATAACTCCACAGAGGCCGGTGTCCCATCACCAAGTCGCCCTTAATTGACATATGAATAGTTCTTGAATTAGCATTGCTGCATTCAGTCTCTCTGACACTCAGTCTTCTTATCTGTCAGCCAGGGCTCCTGATTAGAACATATTGACAGTCCCAAGCAGGGAACTCATTCTAAGAGGACCAGCTGGCTGACTTCATTCCAATCATTAAAGGCAGAAGAAGAGCACCAAAAATGGTAGAGAGATTAAAATCAGGATGCAAGGGAGATTAGAACTGGAGGAATGCGGGTATCATTTTTATTCATTCATGGGATGCGGGCATCGCTGGTTGGACAAGCATTTATTGCCGATCCCTAATAGCCCTTGAGAAGTTGGTAGTGAACTGCTACGTAGGTAGATCCGTAGTGCCATTAGAAAGGGAGTTCCAAGATTTTGACTCAGCAACACTGAGTCGATATATTTCCTATTAAGAGTGTTAAGTGGCTTGGAGGGGATCCTGTAGGTGGTGATGTTCCCATGTTTCTGCTGCCCTTGTCCTTATAAATGGTAGTTGTCTTGGGCTTGCAACTTGCTGTCTAAGGAAATTTAGTGAAATTCTATTGTGCATTTTGTAGATGGTACACACTGCTATGACTGAGCATCGGTGGTGGGGGAAGTGGGTGTTTGTGTACGAATTGCCAATCAAGTGGACTGCTTTATCCTTGGATGGCATCAAGCTTCTTGAGTGTTGTTGGGGCTGCACCCATCCAGGCAAGTGGGGAGTATCCCACCGCGCTCCTGACTTATGCCTTGTAGATGGTGGGCAGTATCTGGGGAGTCAGGAGGCGAGTTACTCATCGCAGGATTCCTTCCTTCTGAATTCCTCTTGTAATGACAGAATTTATATGCTACGCCAGTGCCCAATCCCACATGGTGTGCTTTTGACATGTCCATTGCAACTTTCAGTGCTGTAGCCAAGTGTTTAATTGTTCAACTGTTCTGTCTTGGATTATGAGAGTCTGATAACTGATCTATGCAAACAGTGCTTGACTGTTAAGCCTGAGTGAACACTCCATGCAAAGTAAACACACACCATAAAACCTGGGATAAGCATGTGTGCTTATTTGTGATTGCAAAAATATTTTACAACTCTTGTGCATAAAATGGTTGCATGTTGAAAACTCATTTCAAATTTGCATTGCTCTGAGGAATTTAAAATACACCACTCAGCCAGTTAGAGGGGACATCTTCATTGTCCAATCAGAAATGGCAGATGAGTGGTTCTGAAAACTCAAGTGCCAATGAGAGGCCCCCCAATACTTGGTATCCTGTAGCCCCAGTGACCTGAGTTGGCAGCTTCCAATCTGAGTGGGGGTACTGCACAGGAGAAGGGTGGGTAGCTTTGCTTTTTCTTTTCCTCTTTTATTGATGTTACACCTGCTTAGTTGTGATCCTGGGCAGCCCGGCCAATGAGTTACAGTTGTGATCTGGCAGCTGTTATGGTTCTGGCCATGATGGTCCCTCACAGCACCCTTCATTCCGCTCTGCCCTACATCCTGCACTCTCAACCTTCCGTGTGGGCCTTGACATGGCTGAAATTGAAGGAAACTGCCCACATTGCTGACAGAATGTTTTCTTTTTTTAATCAACCGATTCAGATATATCACAACACCCCTCAGTAGGAGGTGGAATTAGAGCCAGAGCCTCCTAGCTCAGACGTAGGGATACTGCCATTTCACCATAAGACTCCCATTGCTGACTGGAAATAATTGGTTCTTAATTGGCACTGCTTCTCAACCCATACTAATCCATTCCAGGATCCCTAATTGATAATAATTTGGGGACAGTGTTGAGTGGTTAATGTCACTGGGATAGTCATCTGGGATAGACCAATGCTTTGGGGAGTTCAAATATTGCCATGACAACTGGTGGAATTTAACCTGAATTCATAAATCTGGGATTCAAAGGTAGTTTCAGGAATAGTGATCATGAAACTATTATCAATTGTTATAAGAACTAATCTGGTTCACTCTTGTCTTTAGGGAAGGAAATGTTGCCCTTACCCAGCCTGGCCTACATGTAACTCCAAATACACAGCAAATGTTGTTAAGTCTTAATTGTCTTCTACACATGACCAAACAAAACACTCAGCTCAAGGGCAATTAGGAATGTCCAACATTTGCTGGCTTTGCCAACAATGCCCACATCCCATGAAAGACTGAATAAAAAGGAAGCAAGGAAGTCAATTGTCATGAAATTCACCTCCAATCCTGAACCCAACCCACCAGCAAATTCAATCTGCAGGTTTGCTTCCAATTGCTTGAGAGTTTTGTGTGAAGGATAACTGGTAGAGGAACGCAAGCAACATGTATAGCTCAGTGTGTCAGTTCACAAGCTTGTGTTGAAAGAAGAATAGGAAAATGCAGCAAAGTGGAGCTAAGGATGGTCAGATCCGCAATGTTCTCATTGACTGGCAGAGCAGATTCAATGGGCTGAATGGCCTATTTCTGCTCCTACATCTGATGCTCTTATGGAGTTAGCTTAAGAATGGAGTTGTCAATAAATATCCTGACCGATGGATAAAGTGAGACTTGTCTAAAGTCGTGCATTAAATATTGGATCCTTTTCCCAATCCAGTCCATCAGGTAACATAATAGAATTTGAAGGCATTGATGGAGGCCATTTGTTCCATCATGCTTTTCTAGAATAGCTATCAAACAAAACAAGCTAATAATTTATTTTCAGTTCCCTGCACTCCTTTAATATTTTTCTTTTATAAATATTGGCTAATTTACTGTTTTCCTTAGGGTACTTTCCAGAGGAGGTGAAATTTCCATGTTGTTTCTTTCAAATTGATCCATTGCTAGGTTCAGCTGCAATAAAAACTGAAATTGTCAGGAATACTCAACAGGTCTGGGTTACATCTGTGGAGCAAGAGACAAAGCTAACATTTCGTGACTTCTTTAGAACTGAAGAACGTTGGACTCAAAACATTGACTCTGTTTCTCTCTCCACAGATGCTGTCAGATCTGCTGAAATTCTCTAGCACTTTCCATTCCTATTTCAGATTTCCAGCATCTGTGATATTTTGCTTTCACTGCGAGTCCCGTGGAAGATATTATTTTC